CTTGAATAACCCATCTTCCCATCTAATGTAATCTTTGCAACAGACTCAAGGACACCCTCATGGGAACTAGACCCAGACATGCTGGGAGCAAGACGGTTACTAGGAGAAGCAGATCCACCAGAGGCTCCACCAATGCTATTATCAAATAATGGAACAATAGCCCAGGCGAAGGACTCTCTGTAAGGCATAATTCGAGGCCACACCTGCAGTTTCTGCCTTTCTCTCTCAGTCAAGTGCACCTGTTAAGGAGAAGATAGAGAACAACAATAATTATAAGGAATTTATTTGAGATGCAGAGGGTAAAATGTGCAATTACCTTAGAAATGATTACCATTAAGCAATAACAATAGTCAAAAACCATACAGCAACTAAAATAAATCAAAATTATATTTATTTTCCCCGAGCTTTCATCAACTCTAAAATCTTAAGAGTGTCCTACAACAAACTTTATGTTCAGTTCAACATTAGCAGCTAAAGATCTACCCTCATATTCCAATAGCCAAAACTATGTTGCCTCACACATGCAACAATTCTCAACTGACATGGTTTAAATTATTTATAGACTTTCCTAATCATCTCTTCACTAAAATGCGAACACTTAGCATGCAATGTAACAATTTAAGTTCAAATGCACAACAGCTGCATCACCAGGTTTTTTTATTGCTTTGTTTTCTCTCATCTTTTAAAATGTCAACGTTCACCAAACTCCAGAAGAGAAAAAGTTTTTCAGCAAAGTTTTAGTTGCAAGTTCAAGAAGAAAATGGAAACTTAAATAGAAAACTTACCTCAAATCTAACCACCTCTGTGGGATTGTGAACAGCTATACTTTTTGGAGTGATCTCAGTAAGAAGCAAAATGGCAACCTAGGATCATTCAGGAAAAATTCAATGATTATGATTTCTTTCTATCTTTTATGTTCGTTTTTCTTTTCTTTTCTTTTCTTTTCAAAAAAGGCTAGGTTTTCCATTGCATGAAAACAAAATATCTACAATAATCACCCAGGCATACCTGGGTTTAACATATCACCTAATACTCAAAATTGCAGTGACAAAAAGTAAGAAATTCATTTTTTTTCTTCTTTATTTAACAAAGGTGCTATGCCTTTCAGTGTGCACAGATACATATAGGCCAGAAACAAATTCATTTAGGAGAAGGAAATAAAAAGTATAAGAAGATCCAAGATCATTTGTTGTTGCTCTGTAGGATAGCTTCAGATTAATAATTTCATAAGTGAGTTGAATAAAAAACAAAGGGAGGGAAAAAAAAATGGTAAAAATGGAAAACCCCCCTTGAAGGAAATAAGCTAAGCCTGCCATGTATGATATACAAGACATTGTTTTGATTTTCTAGTAAAATATCAACTCCTTTACCAATAATATAAAGAGAGAAATATATGCAAATTAATCTACTGAATAAAAAATGATTGGCGCCCAAAGGTTTGGATACCCACAATATACCAAACAATAAAAGAAAACAAACAAAATAAAGAATGACCAGCAGTGCAAGAGTTGAAATGCGAGTATCTAGGTCATAGAAAGTTCTAGAGCCACCTAAAATACCAAATCTCGAACTCAAAGACACTATGGTCACAAAAGATCCAGCTCATTTACCATTGCCACCCACCTTTTGATCATTCTGCAGTCTATTAGAGTTACCCAACATGATTTCTTATTCATTCTTCCTTTATTGTTTACAAAGGAAGTACAAAACTTTGTAACAACGAACTCTACAACTCAAGAGCTAACTTAAAGAGATTTATCCTGAAACAAATTTAAGCCTTTTACTCTAATTTACTACAAATTCACAATGAGTTACATACGAGCACAAAAAGAGGCAGACAAGGCACAAACTTCATATATTTATCTAAGCCATAACACAAAATTACTGAAACACTAACAATCAATAACTGTGAATGTTCTTCAACTTTATATATTTATCTTTTTCAACTTTGTTGATGTTTCCATACTAAAACTCAGATTTCAATTGCTATTCACTAATTATAAGAGCTATCAATCTTCAAACCAAGAAAGCAAACCTTCCATGGCCAGAGTGTAGTTATAGAAGTCTCTGCCATTGAGAAGAATGCAGATAGACCTAAAAGTGCAGTCAAAATCACACCTTGCTCTTTGAAAATCTTAAGAACCATAGAAACCTTAGGCCACGCATTCCTCAACAGCAATGCCCACCGCTCAATCACTCCGTACCCTACATTCACCACTCCCTCCACCGCGAGCACTCTCTTGCACGCGAAAACCAAAAGACAATAAAGCATTGCCCCAATAAAGACTCCCCGATTCAGCAAAATCTTCAGAGACTCCAAATCCAGGCCTAAAACCTCACCTTGGTCACCACCCAGATCATTGCTTTCTATGCTTAACGATCTCAAATGAACTGTAAATTCCACCAAAATGGACGGATTGAAACAGCTGGAGACTACACGACATGGGAAGTGATTACTTTTGGATGATAA